TGCAAGGTGTTTATAACAAGTATTGAACAATCGATTTGTATTAGACACCACAAAGGAAATAATATCTGATAAGTCAAATATTTTCGCGACAACACCAAGTAATAAGTTAAAAACATGCAACATATTTTATTCATTAGATGACTTTTTGGAGTACATAAGATTTCCCTTTATATAGGCAAATGTAGAATTTCATAAAATCTTAAAACAAAGAAACAAGGATAGATTGTATGTTCCTAATATCACTAATTAATGTTATGTATAAGTAAAAAATATTGAAACAATATAAAAGAAAAAGATAATATATTCCTAATTTCCCAAATAATATCCTAATTAATGCATGGAGATGTTTTATTAATGCTTCTTGACCGTTTTTGAACATCATTCTTTCTTCATTTTGGGCACTATATGGACTTTGAGGCATCTCTTTTTAGGCTTCTAGTATTATGATCATCAATCTTTAACCATTTTTAGACATCATACGATCAATCATGTAAATGGACTTTAGTGTGTTGTTTCCAATCATAAATTGCAATACCTTTGTCATAGATTTATTCCTTACTCTTGTTATTGGAGCTTCCATTTCTTGTAATAGGTTTTTTAGAACATTAGATTTCCACACTAGAGCCTTGACAGTATAATAGTTTTATCTCTCTTTAATCCTTGATCGCACCATGGTATTCTATCACAAAAACCAATAATCATATACAACAAGTTTATTGACTCTTATTGTAAACATTCCAAAAGTTACATTAAAATCAATTTCTAATTGGTTGATAATATAAAATCATATACATTAATTGTACATATTCATTAAACTTTAAAATTAATATTAAATATTAAAAATTAGTTATTTGTAACAATAAAATTTATTGAAAAAATTATCAATAAGAGATTTCTAATGGATTCATAAAATAATATTTATACTCACATTAAAAGATAATAAAAAAAAAGGAACTATTAGATCAAAGGATGATCTAAGAATCCTCAAAAAGTTAAGTTTAAATATTAACAAACTTAGAAGTTTTGGAAAAGAAAACTTACAAAGATCATATGCTTAAATAATAGAATTTAGAACACCATATCAATGTTTATTAATTGCTATAAATCACTTACCTTTTGTATACATATTCTATTGAAGTTGTTATCATGACGTGGCCACATACTTACTTGTGTACATTAAGAACAACCCTTTCACCAAAATTATTGTCTTTCATAACTACCTCTGAGATGGAGCAAAAATGACAGTCATAGAACTTATAGGAATCTAGTGGGATCCTATCCTTTTAATTTTTGAAACCACAACTTAATATCCATCCATCTATCATAGATGTTAAATCAATTAGACTCCGTATAGAAAAACCTAACACACTTGCCTATTGAGCTTGATCAAATAATTAAATATACTTACATGGTGATTCTTAAATCCAAAATAAATCACATAATAAAATGGGCTTATAGGGAAAATATATGTCAGGTAACATTCAACCCATTTTCATAAAACAAAGTTACACCAATTAATTAATGTTAGCCCAAATAAATAAAAATTATAACATAAGATGATGGTATTAGTCTTAGTTATAGATGATTACAAACGAGAAATGCATGATAACCCTTCAGACTGAACATTTCATTTATCTAAGATGAAAGCTTTTAAATATCACATTTAATATGTGTGATATTTCTATGATATGCATTCATGTCATTCTTTAACAAATCAAAGGAATAAAAACTTCTTTGGTACTCATAACGTATAAAGGAACAAGATTTTGCTTTTCATCAAAAAAGGATAAGTATATATCTCGAAGTATGTGAAGTTAGCTAAAAGACATTCTCGACTAATACGTGCAACAATTCCCTCTCTTTTGTACTACAAAGGTGATAGTAGTCTCCTTGATCAAATAAGAAGTGATCATTTGGTGAAACGCATTTAATGCAAACATTTATTGCACTAACAGACACATACCTTTATACGGAAGCAAGATAAAGTAAGACAAAGCAAGTCAACAAGTACTACTCAAGTATTTACAACAATCATTTTCAAAGTTCACTTATTTAAAGGAGCTTCAACCATAGAGAAAAGAAGAGGTTTATTTTCATTCAATTCATTCTTTCTCTATAAATTTTTGTATTCATAAGTTTTATCATGTCTTGTGTGTTAGACAAACCCTCTGATATTTTTACCTAGCCTAAACTATGTGTTTTAGCTAAAAAAACTGGAGAGAATTTAATTTTTAAAGAATACTTGGTGTTCAAACCTAGAGAGACTTTGTTGTTTAAAGAATATTTGATTAATTTTCTTATAACTTGTGAAAGAATAGTTGTATCTTTGATAAATATAGTGAAACTTAATCAATAACAAGACGTAGTCTCAGTAATTGAGATGAATCAATATAAAGAATTTTAAAAATTCAAGGAATTTAAAATTGTTAGAATTTAAATCACTTTGATTTCGAGATGAATTCATGCTTTCCTGAAAATTGACACTCACTTGTATTTTCCTTTCTTGCACTCTTAAGATGAAAACATGTTTTTCTTTTAGAAATCTTTCACATGTGTTTTTGAATTCTTATGAACTCATTCTTAAAAAATGAAAGGAGTTTGAGTTTATACAGAAAAATTAGTCACTATGTAATCAATTAATTGATTGTGTAATTGATTACATTGATCAAAATTATAATATGGATTTTCTAGAAATGAGAATATGTGTAATGCAATCGATTACATTGTCACGTAATCGATTCAAATAAAACATTTTTCTTTTTTAGAATTACATATCCTTGTGTAATCGATTACCAATTTTTTTGTAATCGATTAAATATGTAACTTGGTCCAATATTAGAAAATCTTGGCTCATTCTTAATAAACATTGATTGAGTGACATATTTATACACCTTTTGAACAAAACACCAATTCTCTTATGTAATCAGTTAAATCACAATATAACCAGTTACACTTGAGTGATTTGATTTTAATGTAATCGATTACTTCGTTTGTGTAACTGGTTATATCAAAACATTTTAGAATTTTTGGAGAATTTAAGTAACAATGAAATCAAATACTTTATTCTCATAATTTCTTACTCTAGAAAGTTCTTCCGAAAACTCAAAATGATGGAGGGTCATCCTTGAAGACCATTAGACCTTTGACAAGGTCTGTGGTTAGGAGGCTAGAAGAAGCAATTATAGAGGATATGCTTCTTAGACTTGTGTTTATCATGAGCATAGAGTATGTGTTCTCCTCCTAATTGATTAGTCTTCTATGGTATATACTTTATATAGTTTATTTTTCATTCCTTTGTATGTAGTAGTTAAATGTATAGGTTGTTTTCATCCTTGTATTTAGAGGTGTATGTTTCCTTATTTGTAGGTCATGCCTTTAGGATTTGGAGGCATAGTCCTTATTGAAATATATTCCTTTTGACCTTGTATTCATGGTCTCCATTTTTAGTTTTTTTGAGTTTAGTATTTGGAGTGGAAATAGTCATTTTAGTAGTGTGACAATAGTCATTCTAGATGGTGTGGAAGTAGTAAAGGCGTGGAAATAGTCAAAAGTGATATTGGGCTTTTTTTTTTTTCTCTTGGTCCAAGGAATTAATTTGGCTTGGTTTAACCTTCATTTGATTAAGCAAAGCAAACTAATTCCTTGGTTTTTGGTTCGACAAAGACTATCCAAGGACACCTTGGCCGCCCACCATAGTCAATTCTCACCCTTGGAACTATTTCTCCTACCACCTAGAGACAAGAGGACACTTGACACTTGTTCATTGACTCTTCTTGATCTAATTGTCTCCTACATGTCTCCTAGAGCGTGTTTGTGATTGGTGAAACTAGATCTAAGTGTCCCCTTGCTCCTAGATGTCTAACTTCCTCTCCAAGCTACCTAAGACTCTAGCTTCTTCTTTAAATTACATAAACTCTATATATAGATGCTTGGAACAATTTGTACACAACTTTGAGCATTTTATTGAGATTTGACCGAAATTTTCTCCAATTCTCTCTCTCAAAACTTGTTCTCTCTTTGAAATTCTTTCTTTTCGCTTACCCTCTCTTGAGTGAGGTGAGAAATTGAAAGACTTATCACTCTTCAAGAGTGTGGTGTCACCTAAGAGAGATCTTACCTTCTCTTGTGTATTAGAAGTGACTTCTAATATTAATGGAGGTCATTGAAAAAGCTTGAAAGAGTCCAAAAAAGTGAAAGATCTATCCAAGAAGCTTGAAGGAGAAATTACATCAATCTAGTCTCTCCTAAGATTTCCATCACAAAACCTTATTGACAATCTTTTAATTTTGGTTTGGTTGTTTATAGCTTTTGAATTGTTTCTTCCTACTTTATAACTTGTTCATTTTAAATTCTTGATTTAAAAACTTTTAAGATTAGAGGATTCACTTCACTTGACTCTAACCTACTCAACCAAGACTTAACCTATCAACCTATTCTATTACATTGATGACTTATTGAATTTTTGGCTCTCATTACTCTTCATGTAAAAAGCAAAAACCAACTTGTTCATTTCATCATCTTCTTGTTTTAATCACAACATAAATTAGTCATATTCATAGATATTCTCTATTAATAACATAGCTAAAAAAATAGTTTTACAAAAACAAAACCAAAAGAGAAAAATATTGGAGAGACCTAAGATATATTTAACATTTTTTTAGGACATGTATAAATATACTTCTCTCTAACAACTTTTATGAGAAGAAAAATATATCTAAAAATTAAAATTAACTCATTTATAAGTTATTTTTGCATGTATAAGTTAATTTTATAGAATAACTTTATTTTAAATTTATGAAAAATTAATTTATTTCTATTTTATTCTTCTAAGTTTATTTAGATATACTAAAATTTTTGTAATCTAAGTAAACGAGAGAGATAATAAAGGAAGAATGATTAGGTGAAGTTAAAGTTGAACGTGATTTGCAATTCCTTGTTTAAAAAGGAAGAATGTAGGGTCAGCAGCACGTGGGGGAAACGAAAAACCTGTGTGAGTGACTCGTCAGTTGTCCCGCGCTTTGCACACTCACAGTCTCTGGATCACCATAAACCTTCACACCATCCGTTCTTATAAAACGTTTCCCCTCAAACTTCGCTTCCACTGTCATTTCCCTCTCTCTCTCTACTGCCACCATGGAGCTCCGTCGCCGCTCCTCCTCCGCCGCCGCCAAGGCCTCCGACGCCCTCCCCCTCCCCCTCCACCTCACCAACGCCGTCTTCTTCACCCTCTTCTTTTCCCTCGCCTACTACCTCCTCAACCGCTGGCGCGACAAGATCCGCACCTCCTCCCCCCTCCACCTCCTCACCCTCTCCGACATCGTCGCCATCTTCGCCTTCCTCGCCTCCTTCATCTACCTCCTCGGCTTCTTCGGCATCCACTTCGTCCAGTCCTTCGTCGCCACCCGACCCAACGAAGAAGGACTCGTGTCGCCACCTAGTCCTACTTTTCAATGCATAGACAAAGCCGACAATGAAAACACTAACGGCTCTGTCTCAAAGGTAGTCAGACGACCACCTTTTCAATACATTGACGGAACAGATAATGAAAATATTAATGTCTGCTCTGTCAGAAAGGAGGTCAGAGTATTATCTTTTGACAGAGCCAACAATAAAAATATTGTTGACTCTGTCGTGAAGGTTGCCAGCAGACCTCCTTTACAATGTACAAAACCAATTTCAACGGAATTCATCGACAATGATGATATCATTGTCGACTCTGTTATAAATGGGACTGTCCCATCTTATTCTCTGGAGTCCCATCTTGGTGATTGTGGCAGGGCTGCGACAATCCGGCGGGAGGTATTGCAGAGAGTGACAGGACGGTCCTTGGCGGGATTGCCTTTGGAAGGATTCGATTATGAGGCGATTCTGGGGCAGTGCTGTGAGATGCCGGTGGGGTACGTGCAGGTGCCGGTGGGGGTGGCGGGGCCGCTGCTGCTGGATGGGGTGGAGTACACGGTGCCGATGGCGACGACGGAGGGGTGCCTGGTGGCGAGCACGAACAGAGGGTGCAAGGCGATCTACGTGTCCGGCGGGGCGAGTAGTGTGGTGCTGAGGGATGCGATGAGTAGGGCGCCGGTTGTGCGGTTCGCCACGGCGAATAGGGCTGCCGAGTTGAAGTTCTTTTTGGAAGATCCTCTCAATTTTGATACCTTGGCCGTCGTTTTCAATAAGTAAGTTTTTGTGTTGGCGGAGAAAGGGGGATTTATTTGTTTATGATCTTAGTTTGTGTTTTGTTAGAGTGGAGTTAACTCTATGGGAAGTAAAAGGGAATTAATTCCTTATGTGGAATGATTCAGCTCATTACAACTAATTTAAAATGTTTCTTTTAAGTAATGGTTTATGTTGTGCCACTGCGTTTAATGTTATGTATTTTGAGTGGGAGTTCTTTTTTTTTTCTTTTTCTTGTTTTGGTGGATGGGTTGTGAAGTTTATTTTTCAAATTTTGCCTCTTTTTTCTTGTGCGTGTCTGTGTGTCGATTGGTGCTGTACTATGTTTGATGTTGATGGATTTATCCTTCGAAGGAAAAGGGTTCTATGTTTCCTTTTTGTTTTTTTATTTTTGGGTTAATTTTGGCGAGTTTCAACTTTCAATGATCAATATTTTTCTGCATTTATGTATTTTTTAGTTTTTTTTTTGCTAGTTTTCATACTGCTGATGGTGAATTATTTTATTGCTGTCAAATTCTCTGTCTGTCTCTATAGTCTTTCTCTATCTTGATTTAAGCCATGCCATGTGTTTGGTTTTTGGTGGGTTTTGCTACTTTAGTGATTCTTTCAGTTTTGGATTTATTTCTTTGATTTGTGAAAGAATAAATAAGGAGTAAAAAACTAGAATCTGGATTTCTTTAATAGAGCAGGGCAGAGCCAATTTATTGCAGTTTTTGAAATTTTTGTTAGCAGGAAATTTTAATTTGTACTGAAAATTGATTTGCTTCTGGTGCTACAGGTCAAGTAGATTTGGCAGGCTTCAAAATATTAAGTGCTCTATTGCCGGGAAGAATGTGTATGCCAGATTTACCTGTAGCACAGGTGATGCCATGGGGATGAACATGGTTTCCAAAGGGGTTCAGAATGTTCTTGATTTCCTTCAAAGTGATTTCCCTGACATGGATGTTATTGGCATCAGTGGTAAATTTTATGTCCCTTTTTAGTTTTCACTTTACTGGTGCCCCTGATTTTTCATTAGCAAAGTCGCATTGATGCCACATGTCTGTCCGATGCTGATAAATAATAGTGTATACTGTAGAAGATCTTTTGGTGGGTCTCCCTTTGATTTTACACATTTTTACATGAAATTGGTCCTAGAATTCTCCAATTTTATTTTGGTAATATCTTTGTTTTTTAAAACTATGTTATTGTTGGTATTTTTTCAATCATTTGAAATGAACGAATGACCTGTGTCATGCAAGATTGTTATTCTCTTATTCATGTAGAATTTTATTTGGATTCTTAGAGCTTGATTTGTTTGCTCAATATATGCATGTTGAAATATGACAAGTCTCCAGTAATAGATTATTTTCTTTAGTTAATGTTACTTGTTTGAGCAGTTCCATTGTGTTAATATGAAAAATTGAAAACTATAGTTATTATTATTTTTTTTTTTCTTTTTCATGTACACATATTTCAAAAATATACACTAAATTTAAGGGGGGCAACACTTTGTTGTCCCAATTTTGTGTTACGGAACATTTTCCTAGTTACAATTAGAGTAGTCATATTTATTCTGGCTGTTGTTTAACTTGTGAACTATGAATGTGAACCATCAATTTGATGTAGGAAGTTGGAACCGTCACGTCACTCTCAGACCCATAACCTGTTTTTTAAATCGCTTTGGATTCTTCCCGTGAACACTATTATACCCTTTCATAAAGTCAAATTCAGTTAGGCATTAGTTTTCCCACTTTACTTGCTTACGTCGAATATGTCATGAATTAAGGATCTCTGTCGAATATATCATCATTTCAGAAATTACACCTAGTTAAATGGCACGTACAGAATATTAAAAGTTAACTGAGAATTAATAGTAACTTTCATTATTCTGTAATAATTTTAAAAAGTGAATATGGAAGTGGACCTCATGAATTAATCTTTGGTTATTTTGATGCCTGTAACATGTAACTTGGGATGCTAAAATTGTAATTGCTGGGAATTAACTTGAAATGTAATGATTAGTATTGATTCAATTATTTAGGAAATTACTGTGCCGACAAGAAACCTGCTGCTGTAAATTGGATTGAGGGACGTGGGAAGTCAGTAGTTTGTGAAGCAATTATCAAAGAAGATGTGGTGAAGAAGGTGTTGAAGACCAATGTGGCTGCCTTGGTAGAGCTTAACATGCTCAAAAACCTTGCTGGTTCTGCTGTGGCTGGTGCTCTTGGTGGATTCAATGCTCATGCCAGCAACATTGTTTCTGCCATTTTTATAGCCACTGGTCAAGATCCAGCCCAGAATGTTGAGAGTTCCCATTGCATAACCATGATGGAAGCTGTGAATGATGGGAAAGACCTTCATATCTCAGTGACCATGCCTTCCATAGAGGTGATTTAGCACCTTTATATATAGATTTTTATGTTTTATTTTTACCTAGTTAATTTTCCAATTCACTTGCTTATCTTTTTAAGACTTGTGGTCCTCTCAGGTGGGTACAGTTGGGGGTGGAACTCAACTACCATCTCAATCAGCTTGCTTGAATCTGCTCGGTGTGAAGGGCGCGAGCAAGGATTCACCAGGATCTAACTCGAGACTTTTGGCCACCATTGTTGCCGGATCTGTTCTAGCAGGGGAACTGTCATTGATGTCTGCCATAGCTGCAGGGCAGTTAGTGAAGAGCCACATGAAGTACAACAGATCAAGCAAAGATATGTCTAAAGTATCATCCTGAGAAGGAAGGATCACGTGATTCCAGCCTTTACTCGGGATGCTAAAAGTGGAAAAGGGTCTTTGATGAGTTAGGAATTTTTCAGAGGAAAATGGAAGACATTAATTTGCTGGCACCCATGTGAGGTTTATTTGGCTTGTATTGATGTTTGTGAATGTATCATTAGTTGTACCGTGGAAAGCAGAGGTCTTCCTTTTTGGTGACCCTCTATGGACCATTCATTCACTGTATAAGTTTGGTAGCATAGTTGGTGAGCGTGGGATGGATCTTAGCACACTCCGCAACCTTAGATATTTTTTATGCGTTGTATTATAATTCTAAAATACATGTTCAGCATGTGAACAATTTTCTCTGACACATCTGTTCATTTCTATGTAGTTGGGGACCAGATAGCCGGGTGGTTTGTTGTTTTTTCTCTTGTCTCATTGTTCACTAGATCCGATTAATTAAATTGAACCATTTGTTCTATATGATTTCCAATTTTTTTGGTGGATCTTTCAGATATCGTACTCTTGTTTTCAAAGCTTATTTTGAAATTTGCAGAAGCATTAACAATGGAATTTGACATGTTTCATTAGTTTTTCTTTTTGTCCTTGGAATCAACTGCCTAAGCTTATCTAGTATAAAAGAAAATGATATGAAGTAAACACTTCCGAACAAATGCTTCTCAGTAGTATCTAGAGTTGATCTGGATTTTGCACCCCGTGGTATCTGTATTTTCCTGAAACATTAATAAAAAATAATAGGGTTTATATATTCTTATTTCTTTCCATTAATAAATTATCCAATACCTCCTTGGGGTCATTTAAAATATTGATAAACATATCTCCACAAAGATGCTCTGGGCTAGGCTTGTGTAGCATTTCTTTGGGTTGAGGTTTTGATGGTTTTTACTTGTCAATAATGTCTTTCTCGGTAGAATACAAAGACATCTTATTTCTGTCTATGACCACAAACAAAATGGATGACTGTAGCTGCGTAACAAACCTTGTATGTCATTGGACATTAAAATTCATAAGATGACTTTATCATAAGATAAATAGTCATTTTAGTTGATGGAGGACCATTCTTGAAAATCATAGAACCTTTGACAAGGTCTAGGATTGGGAGATTGAAAAAAATTACTAGAGATGATGTAACGACCCGCCATGGTCTCTACACTTAGTGGAATCGCACTACTGCTAGTGAACTAAGAGAAATATTAAGCTGGATAACTCATACATACATGTACAAATAAAAATAAATTATCTAAATTTTTGGTTATAGAATAAAATTCCATATATGTACAGTCATCCCAAAAATAATATTCCCTAGTGCCGGTCAAGTACAGACAAAACCGTTACCCAAAATGATAACTCCAACACGAGGATCAAAACTCCCCGTCTCGCAGCGGACACCTCAACTCCAAGCTAGCCCTGACCTGCTCCCATACCAAGTATGATCATCGCAGTTCCACCACATGGAAGCAGAAGGGTAAGCTAGAATTCACAAATCAATCATACAAGTATAGAACTATAATCTATACTACACAATCATCCAACCATTAATCATATTCATAGAGTCTCACCATACACTCTATCCAATACTACTCATGCATAACATACAATGCACCAATCATGAAGTCAAACACCACACTTCATCATATTAATAATCATGCAATAAATGCATCTCATGACAGATATCAATGCATATCAATCATATAATGCGTCGTCACGCATACACCTAGGAGATCTCCACAACAATAGAGCATATATACAACAGCATGCACTTCCTTGCTAAATCAGTTCTTCAAGGTGCCTCCAGGACCACCCAATTTAACTTTATGACCATCTTGCATATGATGTAAAGGAATTACAACAATTGGAATTTGGAAACAAACCAAGCCCTTATGTTTAAGATTAAATTAAAGTACAACCTGAATATGAAAAGTAATTTCTGAACCACGAAAGGTTTGAGAAAATTTAGTTACTTACTTAGAAACCAAGGCCAACTTCAAGCACAATATTTTGTAGAAAACGAAATTTATTTCTACCATTCATTCATCCTTTTTTCTGCTTTTATTGGAGGTGTAAGCACCAAGGTAGGTGATGGGGATGAGGGGTGAGTAGATGGCCTTGTAAAGAATTGAACCTACAATATTATAATTTATAATCACTTGCTAATCCTGAAAGTCTTGGTCTTAATCTATGTTCCTCAAGTGCAAGGAGATTCAACCTCCTGTTAATTCTACTAGAAAAAGTCATAACAAAAACTGTGTAATCAATTTAAGGCAATGTCAATAGATTAGGCAGCAGGGGAAAAAAGTGCCAGTGTAAATACAATAAAATAGTAGATACTTACAAGACCACCCCTGAAATGGGATTCAATGACAGAGCATGATCAACATAAAATAAAATAAAATAAGTGTCTCCATAAACTAAAAGGAAAATTACACTAACCTCCTCCCTCGAAGCAACTTATACATAGCAACAGAGCATGATCAACATGAACCTAGCAACTTACCTTCCGAAACCAAAATTTCCAAACATTCCAAACATAACTATTTTGTATTTAAAAGATTAACACAAAAAGCACAATCAAATCAAAACAATCATTCTGTAATAGAGAGATGGAGATAGAGAAAGAGTTTGAAATGGAAAAAAAAAAAATGAATCGTGCAAAACAAACCTTAAAATTGAAATTGAAGACAAAATCACAAGAGATATTACCACATGAAGATCCAAAAGGAGAATGAGTTGACGCTGCCATTGAAGCTATGCGCAAAAGATAGAAGAAGCCATTAGTGAGAGTGATAAGCGAGAGTGAGAGTGAGATGACGGTGAGAAGTGAGGTAAAAGATGGGAAATGCCTTATGCACCGAGTGTGAGGAATTTTTTAAAACAGAAGTTCAAATAAAAATTAATATTAACGGTAATTTTAAAAAATTGTCACTATAAAAAAAGTTTTACTGACTAATTTTTATTGGCCACTAAAAACTTTAGCTAATAATAATATGCAGGCAATTATCTTATTGCCACTAAATAATAGTCGCTAATAATACTTTTTGTTGTAGTGTGATTACTGAGCATAAATATATATTTAATTTTGAGTTTTATTGCCCCAGAACGGTCCGTACTGAGTTCGGAACGGCCCGTTCCGAACTCCCAATTCACGCACAAAATCCACGCCCAGAACGGCTCGTTCTGAAAAGAGAACGGCCCATTCCAGGACTCATCCGGAACGGCCCGTTCTCCCTCCGGAACGGCCCATTCTCCTTTCGGAACGGCCCGTTCTCCAACCAGAACGGCTCGTTCCGGAATTTGGAACGGCCCGTTCTCCCTCCGGAACGGCCCGTTCCCAACCACGAATTTCAGTTTAATTTAATAGCTTCGAACGGCCCGTTCCAGATTGGGAACGGCCCGTTCCAGGCTACTAAATCAGCCACATTGTTTTTTTTAACCACGTTACAGATGATGTGTTTGTAGACCTATATTTATCATGAGCATAACATATATATTCTCCTCTTAGTTGCTTAATATTTTGTATAATTTGTTTTCCATTCCTTTGTATATAGTAGTTAAATTTATAAGTTATTTTTACTCTTATATTTAAGGGTGTATGTTTCGTTGTTTGTAGGTCATGCCTTTAAGGATTTAGAGGTATATTCCATATTAAAATGTATTCTTTTTGACCTTGTATTCTTGGTCACCAGTTTTAGTTTTTTGAGTTTAGTAGTAGGCGTGGAAATAATAATTATAGTGGTGTGGCAATAGTCATTCTAGATGGTGTGGAAGTAGTAAAAGGGTGGAAGTAGCCAAAAGTGATATTAGACTTGTTTTTTTTTCTTTTGACCATAGTTTTAAAAATCGGACCGGTCATCGAACCGGTTAAGGTACTGGGTCAGTGGGTCAAAGGTTGAACTGGTGGGTCACTAGTTGAACCGCATGACTCGATTTTTATTAAAAAATATTTATATTAAATTATTTTATACTTATAAATTTTAATAAATTCATATCTTATTTTAAATTTCAATTTTTCTATCTTATTTAAAATTATTTTTATTTTTATTTTGTAAAAAAATACATAAAAAAATTACATGTTAAACGGTATATTAATACAAATTAAAAATATAAATAATATGTACATATATAATATGCTTGCAATTAATATCACAAAATAATATATGTAATATTTACATAGATATTGCATTATTAAATATATAATTTAAAATTAATAATATACTATAAAAGTTATTTAAGTTGTATATATTGCAAACAAATATATTAGAACAAGTAGTCATTGTTATATTTAATAAGACTCCTTGCTTTTTCATTAAGAGATTCAATTTTCATTATTATTTTTGTGATTTATGGTCCCTTAAAAAAATTTAAAAAAAAATAAGAAAAAAAAGTGGTTGAACCGGTTTGACCCACTGGTTCACCGGTTGAACCGGAAAATTGACCGGTTCAATCTGGTTTGAAACGGGTCGACTGCATAACCGATCCAACTTCAGATTCGAACCGGTTGGACCACCGATTCCCGGTCCAACTGGTCCGACCGGCCGGGTCGGTCCGGGTTTTAAAACACTGCTTTTGACTTAAGGAATTGGTTTGGCTTGATTTAACCTTCATTTGGTTAACTAAAGCAAACCAATTCCTTGATTTTTGATTCGGCTAAGACTAAGTCGCCCACCTTGGTTAGCTTCCACCCTTAGAACTACTTCTCCAACCATCTAGAGATAAGAGGACACTTGGCACTTGTTCTAATGGAAACCTTCTAGAGAATCTGGATTGGTGTTGGCTTCTCCTTCAAGCTTCTCCCTAGACCTTTGGCTTCTTGACACTCTTTAAGCTTCTCCAAAGCCTCCAATGGATAAGGAAGCTTCGATGTTCACCTTAGAAGGTGAAGGACACTCCTCAAGTGGTGTCACTCATTGGAAGAAGATGAATCATTTCAATCCTCACCACACTCTTTATGAAAAGGATAAGAGAATTGGATCAAAAATCAAAAAGGTTTAGGACTTTTAGGGAGAGAGAATTCTGGGCAATAAACTCGACAATCTCAATATAACATCCAAAAAGTGAAGAGACCTATATATAGTGGTGGAGTAGCTTGTAGAACAAGTTAGAGGGGACAAAGACATTAGATTTAGATTGGCCAATCCTAGTTTGCCATGTGTCACTTTGTCTCTAGAGGAGACAAGGAGGAGACACTTATATCTAGAAGAGTCAATCAAGGGATACTATGTGTCACCTTGTCTCCCAGGCTAACTAGAAGCAAGTGTGTTGGAGAAGCTTTGTAAAACTCGACCAAGTAAGAAAGCTAGGCGGCCTTGCTTGTTTTCCTTAATCCAATCCAAAATATTGGAATTGGTTTAGTTAGGTTCACCTAATGAAGGTGAGACCTAGCTAAATCAATTCCTTGGACTAAATGGAGCTAAACAAGCATAATATGTAAAAATTATCCTAGGCCACTAAGGGCCCAACTACTAGCT